CTTTCACTATTAGAAGAGAACTAAGAGTTTTTCATAAAAAGCGTTCTATTTATCTGCCTAACGCCTACTCAGTCTTTTGTATTCAACAGGTTCAGTACTCGTTTAAAACCGGTTTCAAAACGATTTCTTCTGCTGACTATGTAATAATAGGATGTGAAATTCAACCAATAAATACATTCAATACCAGGTACCTATACCTGAAATGCACTTATTCTTTTGTGTAATCCTCGCTTGGAAAACCTGTTTCAAACGAATCCTATGATTCTCTGGGGGATGTAACATGTAATAGTAGGAAGTGAAATTCACCCAATCAGAAGTAAGGAAACATTGAAAATAAATTTCTTAAATGTAGTATTCTATTTATTATACCTATGTATGTATGTATATAATATTATGATTAGAAAAATACATCGAATATTTTTATTATACATATGCTTTCTCGCCTTATTTAAATCCAGCCTCAGTTCTTTCCAACGCCGCTATTAACTCAGCGTCATCTTCATCCCGAAGTAGATCCCTGAGTCGATCCCTTTCACCGCAGTCTTGATCATCGACCAAATCGAAAATATGATCATCATCCGGAAAAACGAATGGCGTTTCAGTCATGGAGTCCTCACCGACATATTCCTCAAAAATGTATTGTGATGATATCATGAGGTCATCATCCTCACTATCATCATCCCATTTAATCTCATTAATAGGATTCCAATTCCTCTCGAGATAATTTTGGGTTTTAATTCTAAAAATCAGTGACAGGTCCACGGAGTCTGGCTGAGAATCCAGATTTATGGTTTCCTCCGGTTGCGACTCAATAAAAATGACCTCTAGGTTATCCATCTTTGTATACAGTTTACTAGTTTCTGTAATAGCTTATAGCTGTGAGTAGCTATTATATAGGCACTCAACTATAGGACAGTGTTGGGAATACAATACAGAGAAGGAATTTAAACATAATAGTAAAAAAAGGTTTAAGGTCAACGAGATCCTTTTACAGGTAAATGCTTTGGAAAAAAACTACCTCTAAACTATCACATCAGATATAGTTCAAGGAGATGAAAAACCTGTTTGACAGTGAGAGGAAGGATCAAAGGGTAGAACTCGTTTAGAGAGAGAGAGAGGGAGAATGTAAGGATTGATTTTGATTTGTCACAATTTTCAGGTAAAAAAAAATCGATATTGATTTTACAGAATTTCCAGAGGAGAAAAGAACTTAGTTCACATTTTCACCGATAGGTGGCGCCACCAAGTAGTAATGAAAAGGGACCTTCTTCGTATATTTACTATAATAAGTTCTCTTTGCATTCATCTTATACTTTTATTCATTGATTGCACATCCTATATATAAATATAGGTAACTCTACTCTTGAAGGATATGATTATGGTAAATATCAGAAACTAAAACCATATATATTTTTATAAATTATTTTATTTCAACATGATCATGGTAAATATCAGAAACTGAAACCATTTATTTTCCCAAAACAATATGAAAAAATATTTATTTTGAACATGATCATGGTAAATATCAGAAACTGAAACCATTTATTTGAAAACCACATGTTGCTGAGAATAGGGTTGTTGAATCAAATATCATGTTTCACATCCTTAAGCAACATGTTGCGAATTTAGGATTTACTCGCAACACGTAGAAGGGACCATTTCATTACTACTTGGTGGCGCCACCTATCGGTGAAAATGTGAACTAAGTTCTTTTCTCCTCTGGAAATTCTGTAAAATCAATATCGATTTTTTTTTACCTGAAAATTGTGACAAATCAAAATCAATCCTTACATTCTCCCTCTCTCTCTCCAAACGAGTTCTACCCTTTGATCCTTCCTCTCACTCAGGCTCTTCGAAACACTGTCAAACAGGTTTTTCATCTCCTTGAACTATATCTGATGTGATAGTTTAGAGGTAGTTTTTTTCCAAAGCATTTACCTGTAAAAGGATCTCGTTGACCTTAAACCTTTTTTTACTATTATGTTTAAATTCCTTCTCTGTATTGTATTCCCAACACTGTCCTATAGTTGAGTGCCTATATAATAGCTACTAACGGTGCTATCGATGATCGAGGGACGGGGATTCTCGGCCAGATTACTGGCAGTGATCTCGGACAATTGCCCTGCCAACCTCTGGGCAAAGGTACAGGCCTCGTTTACATACCCAGTGCTGTGGGACGTGACCCACTTGCGGAAGAACCTGGTGGAGCATGACATCGTGGATACCGTGCTGGACCAGACGTATAATTACACTTTCAACCCCATGCTTGGGTAAATCATGTATTTCCACAAATAGATGAGGACTTCGCCGGCACAGAGGAGACTGAAGGCCGCATCCAGAGGGAGCTGACCCAAAACAAAACACTTCTGAAGGGCCCCTCAATCGGGGGCCGGAAGTGCAACCCAACCCCTTCTTCAGCGGCCCCTCAATCGGGCGTCCGAAGTGCCGTTGCATCCTATTCACCTGAAGTCTGACAATCTGGAGATCTGTGGAAGCTCGTTTGGTAAATTGGTGCACAACGTGGTGCTGGTTTCCACCTATCCAAGCCGTCCGAACGTGCTATTGATGGCCGCCTTGGTGGGGATCGCGGAGCGAATTACAAAAAAACCCAACTCGGAATATCATTAATTATCCTTATATTTTACAGTGGGGAGCAAAAGTGAGTACATACTCAGTATCACCGACTTTCGTCGCCCATAACAGCTAAACGCATAAAGCAAAGCAAACCAAATATTTTTCATATATCAATTACTTTATTCTTAGAAAATAGGTAATAACAACAAAAACAGATGGGAAGCTTACATTGAGAGAAAAATAGAAAACCAAAACAACTCGCATGTACTCAGTTTTGACCTTTTTACAAACATCTAAAAAAAATCAATTAAACTTAATATTTTCTCCATAGACCCTTTGAGAAATGACATTATTAATACGCTTTGGCATACTCTCTACCAAGTTCTCAATAATGTCTTTCGGAATACGATTCCATTCCATCTGTACACGGCCCCAGAGGTCGCCTAATTTAGATGGGGCTGATTCGTACTGCCCTAGCCGTCGTTTCACGATTGACCATAGGTTTTCAATCGAATTGAGGTCGGGACTTTGAGCTGGCCACTCCATCAACTTAAAACTTTGATTCCCTAGCCATTCCCGAACAATTTTCGCTGTGTGCTTCGTCATCAGTCATCCTTCGTCCAATTTTTATGCTCCCTTGCAAATTTCAACCTTGCTTTGACATTTTTTTCCGACAATGCTGGTTTTTTTTTTCTTAACGGCTGCAATGTACCCAATGTTGTGAAGCGCTCTTCTGGCTGTCGAGCGACTAACATTTTTGCTTATTGCCATAGAAGCATCTTTTGGTGTTAGTAACTTATTTTTCCTCATTTCCGAAATCATAAGTCTAGCTTCTGAGTCTGTTAACTTCTTAGGGCGGCCTTGGACTTGCTGTTTGGGGACAACATTACGCCTCTTTTGCACTCTGATCACCACCGATTGACTAATTCCAAGCTTTTTAGCAATAGTACGTGTCGAACAGCCACTATTAGTAAGGCACACAACACTATTTTCAATTTCAAGAGATAGTTTTCTCATTTTCAGGCACAAAGTATAAACAATTTAGTAAATTCAATAAATCTGCACCGACTTGTAAGAAGCACATCTTAAATTAAAGTATGTATGACAAGAACACAAAAAGAAGAGATTTAACTCTAAATCTTCAAGCTATTTGCTGATAAGAAACTTGAGAGCGCGAAAAAAAGTGAAATAGACGAAAAGTTCAAAACTGAGTACATGCGAGTTGTTTTGGTTTTCTATTTTTTTCTCAATGAAAGCTTCCCATCTGTTTTTGTTGTTATTACCTATTTTCTAAGAATAAAGTAATTGATATATGAAAAATATTTGGTTTGCTTTGCTTTATGCGTTTAGCTGTTATGGGCGACGAAAGTCGGTGATACTGAGTATGTACTCACTTTTGCTCCCCACTGTATATAATTTAACTTTACATAACTTATCATTACTTTTAAATAAATCTAAAAGCGCCTACGCACCAGTGATGGCTCACTGCCCACTGCCCACAAAGGAAACAACGCAGCGGCGACACCAAGGAACTCTCCCTGTTCGAACTGAATCTGGAAACGTGGCGTCAGCTCTGGCGTGTGCTCGAATTCTCGGACATACTCCTAATCATTGTGGATGTGCGGTATGCCACGCTAATGTTCCCACCCTCCCTGTAAGACTACATCATCAAGACACTCAAGAAGCATGCCATTGTGGTGTTCAATAAGGTGGATCTGGTCGAACCGTAGGTGGTTGTGGCCTGGCGTGAGTACTTCCAGGAGCGCTATCCCCAGCTGCCGATTGTGATGTTTGCCTCGTTCTTGCCACGCTCTCGCAAGGGCTGCCAGCGTGGTCCGCAGGCGCACAAACACAGCATGGAGGGTGTCTACAACATCTATCGCGAGTGCCAGCTAATTTTTTCATGAGGTGACTGCCAGAACTGCAGGGGATCAATTGTTAATGTATAAATTTTATGTGTATTGAATCGGCGGTGATGGCCAACACAAAAAATCATATCTATATAAATTTTAATATTATATATATGTATGTATTAAGTTTCCCTGTAGTACTGGGCACTAGTTCGGTGGTGGTGATATGACCCGTCCCTAACAGACCACCACTACCCACTGGACACACCCTAAGCAATGCTATTCTTCATTTCCATTTTTACCCACAATGTCCTAGGGCATGGGGACCAGCGACACCACATCGTTTACCCCCGAACTAGTGAAATGGGTACTCTTCTGGTGGTTGACGATTTGGGTACCCATACAATGGGTAGTGAAATGGGTACCCATCTGGTAGGTAGTGAAATGGGTACCCATATAAGGGGTAGTGAAATGGGTACCCATATAAGGGGTAGTAAAAGGAAACAAGGAACATAATTAGAAAAGCTCGTGCAGTTGACAATTTCACTTATTTTATTTGTCTAATTTCCTATGAGTTATTATTATCTATTATTTTGTTGTTGTTATTGTTGCTTATATTTTTAAAATGTCGTTTTTTTTGCAGCTGAAGAGCTTTTCTTAGTTGTATTTCCGCTGATCCAGTCCCTGCCTCTACAGTTATAGCATCCATAAATATAAAAATCAAATAAGTATTAATGGGCAGGAAATTAGAAAGACAAACAGATATGCATACCAAGCAAAACTCCATAAAAATTCTTAAGATCTTTCAGAGCCGACTTGCCTTGCACTCCATCCACGTTATAGGCTAACACAACGGCATTAGCAAGAATATTTTTAAAATTTTTTAAAATACCGCTTGGCAGGAGAATCGTTTTTATTGCATCAATCTGTGAAAATACAATTAGAATAAACAATAAAATTTTGATTTACATCATACTTACGTATAAATCTCTGTTTGAGCTGTTTATATCTTTGTCCATCTGTACCAGTCCCTGGACAGATAGTACCTCAACTTTTTCTGTTTCACTGGACGACACTGTCTCTGCCCTCACTAGTTTTAGTTTGTTAGCATATTTATCGCTAGTTTCCTTCCTAAGTCTACGTAAATGCCGCCTGCTGTACATATTTAATTAAAGTTGCTTTGTCTTACCTTTTTTTAAATAATTGATTTGATAAATGTTCACTTTTTTCACTGGAACTCACAAGCGCGTCTCAACAAATTCAGCCGAAAGAAATAGAACATTCCAGCAATGCAATGTCAAAAACCGAAAACGAAGCAGCGCTTTGCTCCACAGAAGCAGCGCAGCTTCATTTTTGGCTACTTTCTTACTTCTTTTGTTTCGTTTTTTTTCGTTTCTTTCATCTACTGGTGAGACGTTGCAGCCCCATCGAACTAGTTCGCTGGGTGGTACGCGGTGGGTTGTAAAGTATACAGAGTAAGATTATTTTCTACTCTTTGAGTGGTTCCGCGTTCGCTTACCATAGGGTTACTTCGGTGGGTACCCATGTACGGACCAGCGTAGTAGGTAGTTCGGCAGGGTCAATCGCCACCGCCAGTACTACAGGGTTATTCAAGCATTTATTTATGTACAGCAAGTGTGTCTATGAGTATATGTACGTGCGTGTGTGTGTTCGAAACCATAACCGTTTTTTTTTTTATTTGAATAACCATTTGCTTAATATTTAAGAGGACTCGCATTTAACTTTACCTGTTGCGGCAGCCACTGTAGCCCGGTTCGTGGCGTGGAGAACACAACTTTTGTATCGGGTAAGCTGTGTAAGCTACGGATAGCGGGTATATGCGGGTAAGCTGTGTATCGGGTAGCATTTAGCGGGTGGTAAGCGGCTAAGCGTGGGCTTGTTAGCGCGCAGGCCGCGTGGCATTGCTAAAAACCAAAGCAAGAGTTACAGTTGTGCTCCCAAATCATCGAACAACGAAACGGTTAAGGTCAGTGGAAAAAAGGTAGTGGAGAGGGGATGATGGTAGAGGAGAGCAAAGCTAGCCAAACGGGTAAAAAAAAAACCAAATAAAAAATATATTTAAAAAGTAAAAAAAGAGCAACTAACCTTGTAGAGTAGAATATAAATATGAAATCATCAGAAATGTAAATATTAAAATAATAAATAATAAAAACGAGAAGGAACGTGTGAGTCGCTTCTGCGGACGCGACTCTACCCGTACCAAAGACAATATAAGTATAATTTACATAACGCCATACGAAATTTTTGCACACGAATTTGGCATGCTGGCTCCACGCTCTCTTGAAATTTTTTAGATGGAGATCGCTCTAGAGCCAGCCGCTCTCTTGTATGCATACAGCATACGAAGGCACACGAAGTTGGTTCTTTGCCGATGCGACAGCCGAGCCGAGTCGTCGCGACGACTGTATGTGTGCACATGCATACGTTTTTTACAGCGCTGTAGAAAAATATACCCTTCACTTTATAAGTGTAAGTTAATTTTGCAAGACGCTTACCACCCCAATATTAAAAAACTCATATATTATATGTATATATCCCTCCAATGATAATTTATTTTCAGATGGTATATTCGGATTCGGTATAATGATCGGATATACATATATAAAAATACATAATATATTTAATGCATGACTTCACATTGGAGTAATTGTCATTAGGGTATTCAGCGTGCGACGTATTCAACGACGGTAAATAAATTCGTTGATTAACTCATAAAAAGGTATTCGTCTCGAAAATCGTCCGCTTCGCACACACACGCACTTGCTGGTTCTGTGTGTACTCACACATGCAAGCGGATTCCATTTTTAGATTCGTACGCTCTCAAATTTGTGCAAGCGAGATGGCGCGAATTTCGTCGCGGGCCGAAAAATTGGCTTGCATATGGCAATTGAAATGTATGAGCGTTCCGCATCTTATACCTACCCTCTAGTACCAGGCAACTAGTTCGGTACCGGTGCCGAACTAGCTACCATTCTCATGTCCCTAGTTCCGCTTCGTTTCCCCGACAATGTATTTCAGCGGAGAATTTAACACATGCATGTCCTAGGGCGTAACCACCCCTGGGTTCCCGATCGATTACCAGTAGCTAGTTGCTTATGAGCTAGTTCCGACCTAGTTACCAGTAGATCGTCAGGAACTAGTTCCCGATCGATTACCCTTCGATTACCAGCAGCTGGTTGACCAGCAGCTTGCTGGCTTTATAATAAATAAATTAAATACAAAATTGTGTTATATGAATGTTTAATTCAAAATTCTTTCAAAATTCAAACTTAAAATATATATTAAAATCTAGCCTAGCCTAAACAGTTTCATTTTTGGGTTTGGTACACCTTTGCTTGAAAACTCTCTTTTTCACCCTCTGCATCGCTTTGCGCATCAGCATTTCTGGTGCTTCGTCTCCAGGCGGAATACATTCTGTAATAATTATATGTTTAATTTAATTAAAATATAATAAACACTAGTAGTGTACTTTACCTAGGAAAGCTCCATAAAACTCCGAGTGGCTCCTGAGGACTTTCTTCCCTTGTACTCCATCCACATTATATGCCAGTACAATTTCCTGACTTAAAATAAATTTTAAGTTGACAAGCACTTCGGCTGGCTGTAATATGGATTTGATTGTTGAAATCTGTAAATAGAAGGATTCAAGAAGAAGGTTTAGAAAATGAATAGGTCATATTATTTAGAGTTTTAATTTACTTACATAAATGTCTCTATTCATTTTTATATTCTCCTCCATTTTCATCAGCTGCTCGTCCGTTTCAATCGGGAACTGGTCCCGAACAGAATTCATATCGCCCTTCTCCTTTGTAAGCTGTTTTATTAAAACTGTTTGGTCAGCTAAATTTTTTTCAAGGACGTTTAATTGATCTGAAAGGAATTTTGGTACTAATTTTGCTAATACAAATATTAATCTTTATTAGTCTTACCACGAACAACGGCATTCTCCTGCTGTAGATTTTCTGAAAGTACATATTTAATGACGATTTATTTGGTTGAATTTCCTCATAAACTAATTCTTCCTGTTCTATCTGTATTCCAGTTTCTTCTAATTCTTTTTCTAATAATTTTTGTTCCACTTTTATTTCACTGCACGACGCTAACTTTTCAAGGTTCGGAGTCTACGCAAACGCCGTTTGCTCATCATTTTATTCAAAATATGTAATATCTTGTCACGTACCTGTTGTATGGCGTTTAATTTATTAATTTGAAGTGTTATTTCTCACTTTTTAATGAAATAATCGCAAAACAATTTCAAATGCTTCTTCCAGCAACTTGATCTAGCACAGAAGTGGAAAAAAATCAACGCACAAAGCATACGCGCGGAGAACAAATGCATTTTGTTTGTGTAATTTTTTGTCTCTTGCATTCCACGAGTGCAAGTACAGTAAAGTATCACGAATAACTTACCATTTTGGTGCGAATTGCATGTTGCAGCATCAGTAAAAACTAACTGAGTCCGCACTGTAGTCTAACTCTTTTTCGCGGTTTCTTCATAATTCCATGGTTTTACGGTTATTTGTCGACTTCGAAAACAAAGCGATGACGGCTTCGTTTCTGTTTTTCTGTTTCGACTGGTCGCTGATCGCTTCCCGCGTAACTAGTTGCAGAACTAGTATATTGTATCCGACAAAGGCCTAGTCGCCGTTCGCTTCCCGCGTAACTAGTTGCATAACTAGTTGCGCGGTAATCGGCGCGGAGCTAGTTCGAGAGGGTCAATTCACCCCTTTGGTTCTACAGGGTATATTGTCTTTGCCTGTACCACTAACCATACAGTATATAGATGTGCCAGTTCATACAACAAAAGGGGCGCAAGCCGAGTATTCTGTCCCGGCTCCCAGCGCTTCGGCTCTGTGAGGCTGAGACACTCGGGTCGGGAGCTGGGCCGTTCGGCATGTATGACTCATGTCGGGAAGCGAAAGCAAGCTGAAATTTGCAAATGTATGTGTGTAAACAGACACGGCAAAATTATGTATCAATTCTTATTTTCCGAAAACGTTTTGAGTTTGTTTTGAGTTTCGTTTCCAGGTTACGTAAATGTGTGTGTTGGTTTACGGCTGCGCCTTGACGGAGCCCCAATCTGCTGAGATAATGATGCGGCACACAAAGTGGTATTACACCTGTGGCGGCAGTGGACGTTCCTTAGGGGGGCGGATCCGGTGGTCCCAGAGAAAGGTTTTACACGCGGATTTAATGATTGCGTAATGATTTATTAGAGGTTAAGTTAAAAATACAATTTTTGGCACAGAGGGTGCGTTCTGCTTTCCTGGGCTGTCGCTTACAGACTGTATCATCGGCTTGCTGTTCATTGCCGTCGATGTGGTTCTTGAACTTATGTAGTACTTATATGCTAGTCCTAACTGCACTTGCGACGCGACAATAGCGTACGAGAGCGCCGTATAAGAGCGTTACGAGCAGACCGTAGACGTTTGCCGATCGCTGTAGCTCCCAAAACAACTACGAAAGAGATGCATAAGGACTCTTCTCCCAAACATAGGCGAAACGACATCTGAGCTGCTATAATATAAAATAGTTCTCCGGTAGAAACTTTGCGTTGCCTAAACATTCTCCCCCCTTGACGATAGCTTCAGTATCGTCTAATCCAGATTGGTTTTTTTTTCCTTTTTTTTTTCCAACTTCAGGCCAATAGAACTGAAAATAAAGCTCAAAACAACGCTGTAACGAGAGAGTGCAGTTTATGAGTGTTGTGGAGGGTCAATGTCAGAATTTAGCCAATTATCTTGTATAGGTAGAGGGCAGAGCTTTGCAACCGGTCGTTTAATCAGGCCCCCGTTAGATTTTAGCGTGACCACTCGAACTAAACCATCCTTCCCTCGGTGAGTTTGCATAATTTGACCAAGGGGCCAGAAATTAGACGGAAGCCGCTCGTCTTTAACAATAACTATGTCGCCGGCCTTTAAATTCTCCTTCCTTTCTAACCATTTCGGTCTCCGTTGCAATCGCGTTAAATAGTCAGAGCTCCAACGTTTCCAGAATTGCTGAACCATATATTGACAGTTTCTCCATCGTTCCGTGTGGCTAATGTTATCAACCTGTCCCTCAGGTAGAGCAAGTAAAGATTCCCCTATTAAAAAGTGACCAGGGGTTAATACCATTAGGTCTTCTGGATCATTGCTCAGAGGGCATAGTGGCCGAGAGTTTAAACAAGCCTCGATTTGAGCTAGCACAGTAGCCAACTCTTCATACGTAAGTGTACGAACTCCGATCGTCCTCTTCAGGTGGTATTTCATCGATTTAACACCCGCCTCCACAGTCCTCCAAATGTGGTGCAGATGGAGGGTTAAAATGCCAAGTGATCCCATCATCTGCTAGTTTTGAGAGGATAGTATTTTCGATGTACCGTCTGTATGCCAACTTATCAGCTTGCAGCTTTCGATTTGCGCCAACAAAATTCGTCCCACAATCGCTATATGTGAGTGCATTTCCCACGTCGGCCAATGAATCGCTGCAGTGCTCCCATAAATGCGGTTGATGTCAAGTCCCCCACGGGTTCCAAGTGGATGGCTTTGGTCACCAGACATATAAATACAGCGATGTAGCCCTTGATTGCTGTCCGACCTCTTCCTTTAGAAGGGGATATGTTGAACGGTCCTGCATAATCAACTCCGATGGATTCAAAAGCTCTTTGTGGGCGAACCCTAACCGCTGGCAAATCTCCCATTTGCTGACAAGTGGTCTTCGGATTCAACCTGTAACATACGACACATTGGTGAATTTCCTTTCGTACAGCATTTTCGCCCGTTCAGTATCCAGAATCTTTTTCGTATATGGCTGAGTGTAATCGCAGCTCCCCCATGCAGAGTACTGGCATGGCTAAAACGTATAACCAACGTTGTCAGCGGATGCTTGAAGGGAAGAATATACGGATGTTTCTCCGCTTTCGACAGTAATGCGTCTCTCAATCGGCCTCCAAGCCGAATAACATTTTCTTCCTTATCAAAATAAGGATTAAGTGGCAGCAGCGAACTCTCTTTGGTCGCACCTTTCCCGTTCATTAACATGTTCCATTCCTTGGGAAAAGCTTCCAATTGACACATTCGGACTGCGCACAAGAGTCCTCCGCTTAGCTCGTCTATACTGAGAAAGCCAGCCTTCCGATCAGTCTTGGTAACACGGCAATTCCTTAAGAACCGATTCACATAGATATGACGCGGATTAGGCGTGTAAACGACGAACAGCTCTCCAGTAAGGAGGGACAGGACTCGTCCGTGACAGATACAAAATTACATTCAACCTTCTTCATTTCGCTGCTCACTACTGTGTCCATTGCATGGTATACTGCTGTGGTTGGCCATTCCGTTTCAGGCGATTGAAGCCATCGCGGCCCATGCCACCACAATTGGCAGGAAGACAACTTCGTCACATTGACTCCACGGCTTAAAAGGTCTGCGGGGTTATCCTCCGAGGCAACGTGTTTCCATTGTTTCCCATCGGTTAGCTCCAAAATCTTGCTGATTCGGTTGGCAACGAACATCTTCCATCTCGTAGCTCCTCCTCGAATCCAGCTCAGAACGATCATTGAGTCCGACCAGAAAACCGTTTTTGAAAAATCAACTGGGATATTTATTTGGTCCTTTAGATATTTGAATATTTTGACAGCCATAACTGCTGCACACAACTCGGCTCGTGGGATTGTAAGCTGTGGCTTTATAGGCGACACCTTACATTTTGCTACCACCAACTCCACATGAAAAACTTCCTCTTCTTTTCGCATCCGCAAATAGGCTGCTGCACCATATGCACTCATGGAGGCGTCACAAAATATGTGCAACTGCGGAATAACGCCTGACATTCCCCAAGCTATATACCGTGGTATATGCACCTTCGACAAATTTGGCAACTCCAGTGTAATTTCTCCCATTCCCTTTGAATAGATAGCGGAACATGGTCATCCCAATTAAGTTTTGTTTTCCATAAGGTCTGCATAAGACGCCGTCCCACTATTGTTACTGGGCTTAGCCAACCCATCGGATCGAATAGCCTTGCAATCGTGGATAATATATTCCTCTTCGTTGGTGTACCTGTCGGAATATCGAAGTTTAAATGAAATCGGAATTCGTCTTCACTGGGGTTCCAATATAAGCCCAGTGCACGTATCATTTCATCGCCCTGCAAATTTACCGGTCCCATTGTCTCACGGTGCTCCAGAGGGATTCCGTCTAGCAGCTGTGTGCAATTACTAGCCCATTTACGTAATTCAAACGTTCCACTTTTCATCATCCCGATGACTTGAGTTTGAATATCCTTGGCATCAGCCAGACTATCCGCTCCTGATAAAACGTCATCCACATACATTTGACGTCTTAGTACATCTGCAGCCAACGGGTAGTTATGAGCTTCATCCTGGGCCAATTGTTGCATGACCCTTATGGCCAAATATGGAGCACAGCTCGTGCCAAACATCACCGTGCAACATGCGTACTCCTCAATTTGATCGCCTTCATCCGGTTTCCACAGAATCCTTTGGTATTGAGCATCCCTCTCATGGACATTGATGCACCTCTACATCTTTTCGACATCTGCCATGAATGCGTATTTCAACGACCTCCAGTTTATCAACACGCTCGGTAGATCCCGATGCAGTTTTGGCCCGATCGCCAATACTTCATTTAACGCCGTTCCATTGCTCGTTTTCATTGACCCATCAAATACAACACGCACCTTTGTTGTTGTCGAGGATTCCTTAATCACTGGATGGTGGGGTAAATAGCAATGTGTGGCTCCCCCCTTGGCCATCAATACGCCTTGATCTTCAACGTCGCTCCACTGGGAGGAAGCCCTCTTCATTTGGCCTAGTTCCAAATATTCTCGGATCGTTTGGGAATATATTTCCTTCAACTTGGCATCCTTCCGTAAACGTTTGTCCAGGTGGCACAACCTTTTTAGAGCTGGCCGGTACGACGCTCCAATCACTGCGCTAGGGTCCAATGTCGATAACAATGGGAGCCGCACTACATATTTCCCATACGACAACCTTTTGTATGTTTCTAGAAAATGTTCCTCACACCATTGTTCTTCATTCGATAATCCTCCAGATTCTTGCTCATACTGCTCAAGCTCCCAAAACTGTCGAGCAACCCTTCCAATTCCGCAGATGAATCATCCTGGACCACCTGAACCGTATGTACCAATGCGTTAGTTGTAGAATCCTAGACCTTCCCTGAGATAATGAACCCTAAACGGGTGTTCTGCGCGATAGGCGTGCCTGCAGGTCCACGATGTATCTCGCTCAACATCAATTCATCATATATGTCACTACCTAGCAAAATATCCACTCCTTGGGGTACAAAATAATTG